CCCGGGCGAGTACAAAGGGAAACCACTCTCAACTAGAGTTTGAACTAAGATTAGCTCCCCCTGAGTTATCAATGAGGTCACGGTCATTACTGTAGCCTGCCGACACCTTCCCTTTTTATCCCTCCCAAATTATCGAAAAGGTATGTTGTTTCACACTTCTTCTGCATGGACTCGGATAGAAATATATTGTAAGCTATCGACTCGACAGTTATGTGGATCGCTGTCGCGATTGAGAAATTTTTTGACGCGAAATCCATGATGCGTTCTTTTTGTTTTCGAAGTGTCAATTTGAATCACTCAGTTTTACCAAATGAAATGTCAATGTTTGAACGTAAAGCGGACTAGTTGTTTGGCACAATATGTATGGAAAAGTATGCCGCCATCTTGGATGAAGATAAAATAAACTTACGACAGGTATAGGGCTATCTTAGATTTACGACAAACTTAAGATATCTTAGGGCTACGATAGTTTCGAAAATAGGCTACGATAGCCTACGATTTCCTTACGATAACTTTACGACAATCTTAGGGCTAAGATCGTTTCGAAAATCTAGGCCCTGGAAAGTCTGAAAGAAATCATAAGCTTAATGTATGAAATAATCTCTACAAATATTACTGTTATTTTATAAAAAGTAAAATGTTTGAATTTAACGAAAATAACCAGAGTAGTGTTGTGTGAGACGATCTCTACTTCCGTCGGAGACATTCGGTTTCCCTCGGAAGTGTTCGGGCAGCCGAGGCCGAGGTGCACGTGGCCGAGCGCTGCCGGAAAAGGGATCGTCTGCAACGAAGCTTCGAGAAAGGTAAAATCCCTAGTTCTTAGCTAACAGTCGCGGACCGCATTTTAGAATAACACTACGCAGATCGTGCCGGACGATCATACTATTAATTGGCGAAACCATCAGGGCAGTTAATCACCATATTGTTCGCGGAAGTAAAATCACTACAGTGGCGCTGCGAACAAAAATACGATTTCTGCTTTTGAACGGGCCGCCATTTTGATTGTTTTGACCGTTGCCGATCTGAAGTGAAAATTTTGTCGTACGATTGGAAGATATTTTCCATTTTTTGTACGGCAAATATTGTAATTATTGATGCTATATGCTATTATATGTATGTCTCAAACATTTTTCATTCATGTGCCACGCGAATTAACGTGTTTGGCAGATTTTGAGAAATTTTGACAGTCTGTTGCGAGCGTCAACAAAACCTCTGACCTCGTGACCTTTACCCTCGTCCGTGATACTTTGCATACGAGCGATTGTTTGTATGTATATGTATTTTCTGAACGAAATTTTTGTGTGAGATTGATTTATTACCACGTTTGGTCCACCGTGATACCTATTCATCGTGGATTAATCGTATAATAAAATTGAAATCTGTTGAATATTCTGTGGTGACAAGACAACACAGGAATCGTCAATATTGTCGAGATTGGGATCACACACTCGCTGAGTTTTGCGATATTTTTTGCAAAATACAATATTGCTCAACAATTTGAAGTTTGGACCCCACACCTGCTGTGTGTTGCGATAGATTTTGAAAAAAACAACAACAAAAAAACCCATCTTGTTCATAAAGTGAATTAGGACTTCAAAATTGAATCAAACCATGGCAGAAGACAAAATTTACATTAACTTTTGTGAAATTCAAGATTTGGTCACAGTGCCTGGCATCGGCCGTTCCACAGCAAAATTAATAATGGCACACTTGAAAAAAATGTTGGAAGCCAACGTTATTCAGCCTTCTATGTCAGAATGGGCTTCAGCTCCAGTTCTCATTCGCAAGTCTGATGGTGGGGTGCGTTGGTGCATTGATTACCGACGTCTGAATGACGTTACGGTCAAAGACGTGTTCCCTCTGCCCTTGATTGAAGATTGTATTGACACGCTAGCAGGCAGTGAATGGTTCTCCAAACTAGATGCTAATTCAGCATATTGGCAAGTCAAGATTGGTAAAGAGGACCAGAAAAAGACAGCATTCATAACAAAGTATGGATTGTATGAGCACGTCAGAATGGGCTTTGGTCTCTGCAATGCCCCGGCCACTTTTTCTAGAGTTATGGCACTCGTCCTCAGTGGATTGACTTGGGACATCGTCCTGGCCTTTTTGGATGATGCAGTGGTTAATGGGACCAGTATACCCTCCCACTTCATCAATCTGAGGAGAGTATTAGAGCGATTTCGGAAATACAATCTGAAGCTGAAACCTAGAAAATGTGAGCTGTTTCAGAAGAAAGTGGAATTTTTAGGCAGAGTGGTCAGCAAGGATGGGCTAGAAGTAAACCCAGGTAGCCTGGAATGTGTTCATAACTGGCCCGTCCCCACCTGCACAAAGGAAGTTGAGCGATTCCTAGGATTTGCCAACTATCACAGAGGATTCATCAAGAATTATGCTGAGCTGGCTTGTTCTTTGTATAACCTCACAGGAAAAAAACCCTTTATCTGGGAGGAAAAACAAAAGCAGTCCTTCAAAAAGTTAAAAGCTGCCCTTACGTCAACACCGGTGTTAGCATTGCCCAACAAGGAAGACCACTTCATCTTGGATACAGATGCTTCAGATTGGGCCATTGGAGCGGAACTGATACAAGTGCAAGATGGTCAAGAGAGAGTAATTAGTTACGGCAGTTTTAGTCTCACACCGGAACAGAGAAGGTACTGCACCACGCGCAAGGAGCTGCTTGCAGTGATACGGTTTACCCGACAGTACCGCCATTATTTGTTGGGTAGGCCGTTCACAGTAAGAACAGACCACAGCAGTCTCACCTGGCTACTAGGGTTCCGATCACCGGAAGGACAGCTCGCCCGTTGGCTTGAGGAATTAAGTCAGTATGACATGACAGTACTCCATAGACCTGGTGCCAAGCACCTCAATGCGGATGGATTGTCACGGATTCCTGAGAAGGACAATTGCCCTTATTATCAGGGAACAGTGGAGCCCCTATCACTCCCATGCAATGGCTGCAAATATTGCGAGAGAACACACAAACATTGGGGAGCCTTCCAGGAAGAAGTTGATTATTCCATACCCTTGTCAAGGAGAAACATCACTCAAGCCAAGGTGAGACAACTCTTGTTGGAGTCAACTTCTAGACAAGCAACATTTTCAACAGAGGGGAATGTTCTAGGTACATCAAGTACATATTTTACTCAACATCTACAGACTTGTTTAGAGAGCTGTCCAAAGCCTGAAGTCAGTGTTCAGCGCCTAGTAATGGTGACTGACACACAAACAGGAAATCTTGAATTATTTCCGGAGCCGAGGGACGTACAAGTTCAGAAGGTCACCATTAATGCAGAGAAGGATACCACTCCAAGGTTTGGATATTCTCTGGATGAGTTAAGGCAGCTCCAAAGAAAGGACAAACAACTAACCTTTCTCCATCAATGGTTGGATGATAAAACAATACCATCTGAACAAGAAATATTTTTGGCAAGCCAAGCAACAAAGTCCTACTGGATAGACAAAGAATTATTCTCACGAGATCACCGGGGTCTGGTGGTCCGGGAGAGTAATCAGGACTCCAACAACAAACTGCTCCTTGTTCCACAAACCCTCCAGCAAGAAGTGTTAAAGCATGTCCATGACATTCCCGCAGCAGGCCATATGGGAATCTCAAAGACAAGAGAGAGACTAAGGTCCTGATATTATTGGTACCGATGCTCTCAAGAGGCACAGGAATATGTCCAAACATGTGAGAAATGTAGTAAGAACAAGAAACCCTCTAAACACTCTAGGGCGAAAATCACCAATTTCCATGCAGGCGCGCCAATGGAAAGGGTGCACCTGGATTTTATTGGTCCATTGCCCTTAAGCAAAAAAGGGAATCAGTACATATTGATGATGGTGGATCAATTCACGAAGTGGGTTGAGTGCATCCCCCTCCCAAGTCAAAAGGCGGAGGCGACAGCACAAGCCGCTATCAAGGAGTTTTTCTCTCGATTTGGCTATCCGTTCCAATTACATACGGACCAAGGCCGTAATTTTGAGAGTGAACTCTTTAAGTCAATATGTTCCTTGCTACACATTCACAAAACCCGTACAACACCCTACCGTCCGTCTTCTAATGGACAGGTAGAACGGTATAACAGGACATTACTCCAGATGATACGCTGTCATGTAGGGAAGTCACAAGCAGGATGGGACGAGTACCTAGCACAGCTAGCAGGGGCGATACGGTCATCTGTAAACCGACAGACAGGATATTCAGCCAACAAGTTGATGCTTGGAAGAGAGGTGAATGTACCAGCTGATCTGATGTTTGGATCCCCAGTTAAACATGTATCTAACTCCCTGCCAGAGTATGTGAATTCCTTACAGAGAGCAATCCAGGAGGCACATGAGATGGCCAGGTCTAATCTCCGAACAGCCTTACAAAGAATGAAGAGAGATTATGACTTGAAAACCAATGAAAGTACATACACCGAAGGAGATTTGGTGTATGTCATGGACACCGCTGTGAAGGTAGGGAAGTGCAAAAAGTTGCATCCCACATGGAAGGGTCCCTTTCTAATTGTCAAGAAACGAACACCCACCCTGTTTATCATCCGATACAGGAACCGAGATTCTACTGTCCACCATGACCGCCTCCGTCAGTGTCGGGATAGAAAAATTCCAGCATGGGTGTTGAGGGCAAAAGCCAAGTTTGAGTCCAAACAGGGGATGACACAGGATACACAGGTGGAATACCAGTCTGATGTCGGCCAAAAAGAGACTGACATCTTATACTGTAAGTGCCAGAAACCCTACAATGGTACACTTATGATCGCTTGTGATGGTTGTGATGAATGGTATCACGGCGAGTGTGTGGGGGTCACGGAGGAAGAGTCTAAAACAATGGACTCTTACTTCTGTGACTATTGTCTCTATAACTGAAAATGTATGTGCGTGGTCTTCCCATGCACATACTTAAATGATGGAAGGGTTAATATACAGTTTCCCACTCTTGCAGGCACCTGTAGACAAAAAAAACCCAAACAAAACCACAACCAAACATTGACATGGAGAACCACCGCTCACGCTCTATCCGGAGACGCGATTGCTTGGGACACCGTGCCCGCTCACGTTCGCCCTCAAGGCATCCTCAACATAGAGTGTCCTGGTCGAGGGTCATTCGGAGGTCTCGTTCGCCAAGGAGATGCGTACCCACGAGTGAACGATCACGAAGACCTCATCGAGGACCCAGTCCAAGAAGGGGAAGGTCCCCCCAACGAAACCGGACTATCACGTACAGGAGAGGGGGGTCCCCAAGGCGTGGTGACCTACACCTGTACCACCATGGACAGAAGCCAGAGGGGGCCATCATGGAGGGAAAGCCTGTACAGAGGAAAGTATCTGTCACTTCCTCGGACAGGTTGGGGTTGGTGATCCAGACCTCATTAGCCCCGACCAACCCTGGAAAGCTCATCAGGAACCATAAGCCAGGGTTGACACAGGATCATGGCAAAACCACCTCCGTATCCCTGTCAGCACAGGGCTCACCTTGCTTCGTGGTGGGGTGATCCAAACGGACAAGGCATCTCAGGCAACACCTGATGAGTCATTTGCCCCAGTGCTTTGATGAGGGACAAATGGAGGTGAAGCGTCTGGTTCAGGCCCAGACAGGACTGATCTGGCTGGCCAAACAGATCTTCGGTCCCGGGTCTACTCCTGAGGACCTGGTAGATCATTTAAATGGCTCCGACCTATTGGAGGAATATCCCATTTCCCCAAGTGGTCTTACCCGGATGAGAGAGTTCTCTCACAAGCTGGCTCTTGGGGGTCCCAATAAGTTCACCATGTGCCCGGTGAACTCGGTGGCTGTTCTCCTTCATTGGAGGGTCGTTGGGAACCTTCTCAACCTGCTTACCGAGGAGCAGAGAGCCAGGTTTAAGGCTCTCTTTAGTCTTGGTTTGGCACCACAGCTACAGTCACTGGCAAGTGTGACCAGCCCAAAGGAGGTCGGACCCACTGCACTGGTCACAGCCAAGCCACTGTTCAGACAAGAGGAGGAGGGTCCTATGGAGGCAGAGACCCCACCGGAAATGCCATCCCCAGCTATGGAGCAGGTTTTGGACGTCCTCGTCTTGGATGAGGGCGCCTCAGAGTTTGATGGTCAGTCCCTTGCGGGTCCCATCTCACCTCAGGCCATTGACTCTCACTGTCATCTGGATCGTCTCCAACTTAGACAGTTTGGCAAGTACCTAGAAAGTAGGTCTTTGGAGGACACCCTAAAGCCAGGACCCCAGCAACATCCAGATCGACCATTTCAGTTGGTTAGTGTGGTGTCCGTACATTGTGACCCGGACACATATCCTAAGGTCACAGGCCAGGACACAAGGATCCACCACGCTATTGGTCTGCATCCTAAGAAGGCAGACCAATTTAACCAGGCTATCAAGGAGAAGATCTGCCACCTCCTGAAACAGCCTCAAGTCGTCGCCCTAGGGGAGATCGGTATCGACCAGTCCACCCCTCCAGCCTCCTGGGTGCGACAGAGGGAGGTGTTCCAAAGCCTGCTTAAACTCAAGCCATCAGGCCTACCGGTGGTAGTCCATTGCCGTGGCAACGCAATGGACAAGAAGAAGAATTTTGGTGCTGTGGCCCATTGCCTTGCTATAGGCATCCTAGATAGGCACTGCCAGGAATCCAAAGCAGATAGTGTATCAGACATGGCCATTCATGTCCATTGCTTTGGGGGAGATTACCAGGTTCTAGAGGCCTGGTTGGTCAAATTCCCCAGGGCCTACTTTGGATTTTCTGGAATGGTGGCGAGATTCACATCTCAACAAAAGAGAGCTGTAAGGAGGGTACCAGAAGATAGGCTACTCCTAGAGACAGATGCACCCTACCTGTCCCCGAGAAATAACAGGATCAGCACCCCCAATGATATAGGCGAGGTGGCCTACTTGGTATCAAGGATCCGTGGGACAACAGTGGAATCGGTTCTCGCCACCACCACAGCCAACAGCCAAGCCCTGTACCACTTCTAGTAAGTGACTATAAGGACACCCGGGTTACTCCTGGGGGTCAGGAAAGTGGTACAGCCACGATAAACAACTCACCCCATCAAGTACCCGTGTCCATTCATGGGTATTTTGCATCTTAATTATCCGATGCTAATTGTGGGGTACAAACCCTCAACACCTCGCATGATTGAATGTGTGGAGTAGGGCTGCAAGGATTTAAAAACTAGTACAAGGAAATACAAGACACAGTGAATCAAGTACCCGTGTCTATTCATGGGTATTTTGCATCTTAAATTATCTGATGCCATAGGCTGTGGGGATACCATTAAACCTACAGACCCTTAACACCTCGCATGATTGAATGTGTGGATTAAGGTTGCAAGAATATAGAAACTCCATATTGACACAGTTAATCAAGTACCCGTGTCCATTCATGGGTACAAACCCTTAACGCCTCGCATGATTGAATGTGTGGAGTAAGGTTTTCCAGCAATATTAAAGCATCCCTCCCAGCGATGACGGACGTCTTCGGATGTGCCAGAGCGGCTAAAAAATAAGGTGTTCCTCCAGCAATGACGGACGTCTCCGGATGTGCCTGAGCAGAAAAGATGGGGGAGGACCTTCAGCAATGACGGACGTCCTCGGATGTACCCGAGCTTAGAAAACAGGGAGGAGTGTTGTGTGAGACGATCTCTACTTCCGTCGGAGACATTCGGTTTCCCTCGGAAGTGTTCGGGCAGCCGAGGCCGAGGTGCACGTGGCCGAGCGCTGCCGGAAAAGGGATCGTCTGCAACGAAGCTTCGAGAAAGGTAAAATCCCTAGTTCTTAGCTAACAGTCGCGGACCGCATTTTAGAATAACACTACGCAGATCGTGCCGGACGATCATACTATTAATTGGCGAAACCATCAGGGCAGTTAATCACCATATTGTTCGCGGAAGTAAAATCACTACAGTATAACAAAAATTCCTGATCTTATAATATATCATTTGATGAAGCCTACTTATGAAAGGAGGAAAAACACAACATGAAATCTCAATCCTCAGTGAAATTGCTATGAAATGCAATGTTACCAATTTGTGACATCATAAACAATGGTATGATATGATATAGCTTAACTGACATTAAAAATATATGTCATGAATATATCATTATATGTCATAATAAATTATAAGTGTTAAATAGCATACCTGTGTGTGAGCCCCTCATTCCAGTAAGAGGAAATCGTTGGTTTCTTCACCAGTCCCATCAGCAGTACCAGGTCCAGAAATGCCCGCATTTCTGACCGGCTCCTATTCTTGGAGTCTTGACTGTGGAGGAAGGGTGTGGTCCCGCAAGCAGCTGTAGGCATACTTGTTTGTTTCATTGGCCAGTAGGGTGTACAAATCTTCCCCCTCAGGACCTGGACCAGACAACTGCCGATCAAAGTAGTCAATCGGCTTTGCCTGGCCATTGTTCTTGGTTCCTGAAATGAAATGCAAATAATCACTGACAACATTCAACCGTTTTATTATTTCGCTCATAAACAAACATGAAAGTCAATACGTCATTGCAATAACCTTAATGTTATAAGTATCAAATATTCAAAGTTGCCAACATACAAAACATATGCACCTTAGGGAGTGAACATGGGATATTCGGGGGGAGGGCTTGTAATGGCTTGTTGGTTTTCTTGGGGGTATTAGTCAGCAAAAGAGCCAGAGTCACAAGAGACTAATTACAATTTTATTTACAAGAACAATGAACAATATCTTAAACTATAGCTGACGGTGCCACAGAGAGTTTAGTAGAACCCTCTGGGCTGTGGGTCAGAGGTCTGCTTGGTTTTAGCATGAAACACCTACTGCCTAACATCTTGCTTCTCAATGTATTTAACTAAAATTTAGAGCAATAAAAGGAATGTTATTGGTTGTTGATACACAATGGGGTGAACCCTACAGTCATTAAATGGCCAGACAGAGAGGAATACTGTTGGACTGGCACCAATCTTGTTGACATATTTACTGTGTGATTGGAAAGAGATTATGATATCACCTTAATGAGTCTAAATTGAAGTATATCTTAAAAGCTACAACTGAAACTACTAATATTTTGTTGCCTACATTTCCCTGAATCCTAATATAAATTACTTTCTGTTCTCGAAAAGTTATATAAAAAATTGTATATTTGTTACAACATAATAACTTATAACAGCACTTGCTGTGGATCTAATTATTTTAGGAAAACTTAGTATAAAATTTTAATGATACACAATGAAGCTTACCTGGGGGGTCGACGGGACCACTTGGTTCTGTGAACTCCCTCATGTGCCTTGGATGCCGTGGGTTGACAAAGGTATCAGGATCAAGAACCTAAAATTAATGAACCAGCTGTTTTTCATACATATATTCTGATACACAGGATTTGTTCATTTCATTAAAAACATTTCACTTCAAAACACAAAATTGATAATGTACATATTTATAAAATGTTTGGTTTCATATAAAAAATATTAGTTTTGCACTTTGTACATCTGCAACTGATTGTGTGATCCTGTGTTTTAACTAGTCAGTGGAGATTCATTATTAAGACATGTACTACATATTTTGTACAATTCTTTACCAATTCTTTACCAATACCCATTTGATATAAAACTTCAGGACTGGGATTTGGGTAATGTATAAGCATCACCAATGTAGACTATTTCTTATCATGCACTTAGTTGCAGAGTAATAACATATAAACAGAAACACAGAAATATCCTAGATCTAACACATATACAATATTGATTATTTCATAACATTTTCATCATTATCAATTAAGTATATATACAGGATAGTAAAATATTTCCTTGATTATTTTACACCAGAAAAATTGTTTCAATAATTTATACATTTGTCGTGGTGATTCTTGGTTGAATGATTCCATGTTGCTTGTGGTGTATTTTTTGTTGATTCATTGTTAGGTATTTATTAACAACATTTTGAACACAGTTTCAACAATATCTAAACATGGAATAGAATTAAAACAAAACTGATGACATACATAAAAATGTGCACAAAGTAGGGTACCCTAGTACAACTGGCTAAATAATTTTCTTTTCTTTTTCAACACTTCTCTTACGATATGGGGCGGTCGGGTAGCCTAGTGGTTGAAGCGTTCGCTCGTAAAGCCGAAGACCCGGGCTCGATTCCCGACATGCGTACAATGTGTGAAGCCCATTTCTGGTGTCCCCCGCCGTGATATTGCTGGAATATTGCTAAAAGCGGCGTAAAACCATACTCACTCACTCTTGTTGGATGTTTGTGTGACATCGGCTGGACACTAAGGTTTTTCTTTGATGGTTTTACTGTTAGCTTTATATTCTTTATGCATATTATATTTATAATTCAACATGAACAATTTGTAAACATTTACACGTAAAAGTAGACGTATCTCAGTGTCATAATAGGAGGCAGATTTTAATACCCTGGAAACGAGGATTGCTTCTCGACTGAACTTGTGTCCTCTATTTGATCTTTCTTCTGACATTAAAACTGACTGCCTCCGTGGTCTAGTGGTAGAGCGTCCGCCCGGAGAGTAGAAGGCCCGGGGTTCGATCCCCGACCGCGTCATTCCAAAAGACGTTAAAAGATGGTACTTGTTGTTACCCTGTCTGGCGCTCGTCATTAAGGGACTAAAACAAGGACTGGTCGGCTCGGAGTCAGTATACTGTGTCTGTGTGGGGTATTCATGTTAAACTGCGGCATGGTATCTCAGTGAGCTAGCACTATAAATCGGCATCAGTCCGGACTAGTAAGAGCAGCCACACACACTCACGTGCATGCACGTCGCTATATAAGTGCAATAATCTTGAATCTTAAACCCCATTTCACCTCCCCTGACATTAAATCTACCTGTTTTTCCTCGCAGTGGATCGTACTACGTCCAATTGGATCCGCAGAGGCGTCGACACGACAACATCATGCCTGATGCATGACTGTGAACCATTTCCTACTGCTTGGGGAATCCATTGCTGGTGTATGTGAAACCAACCGTGTAAGGGCACATCCAATGACCTTGACCTTGACCCTGTATAAGGTCGACGGCATTGTTACTAGCGGGACGCGATTACAAGGAAGGATGTATAGCGTGCCGTCAACACTTTGATAACGAAGGAAATATAGTTGGAGAACGCCACTGCTTTTACAAAGGAGGTGAGGTGAGGGGATATTGGGTTTAACGTCGCGTCCAAGATTATTGCACTTATACCAAAATGCTACACTTGTGGTTCTTATTATTTTAAATATATATATAGTAAAAGCTGCAACTAAGGTAACAAGATATTGGAATATATTATTCCTGATAAAACAATAATTTCAGAAACAATTTCTTCGACCATTGCATCAAAATTCTTTGACGTTGTATCACTTATGGAGCACATTAATTATTTTCTGGTGTTTGAACTTTGAATTGTTTTTAAGGAAAGTTAGAGAAAGTTCCACTTTGAAGCTGAACAACTTCAGTAGTCTTGTTATTATAAAATAATTTTGACTGTTCCAAAATCATGAAAGGTTACATCTTGACATGCTTTAAGTCTTGTTTTTTTTATCATTGTGTATCGAGATACGTATCGTATCGTGACCAGAATATCGAGATGCGTATCGTATCGTATCGTATCGTGACCTTCCTGTATCGTTGCAGCCCTAATATCTTCATCAGCTGAAGGGGGCACGGGTGGCCCATTCGACTGGCGCCGCGATTCGCTTTGCAGAGTTGCGTCACTTGGACACGCCAGAAACCTATGATTGTGGGTTCGAATCCCGGTTCGCCCCGATTATGTTTCTAGGTTTGTTAGCACCATACCCGTGCTCGTGGGTTTCACCAAAGTGGTAAACGTCCGAGACCTGCATCACTTCGGGCTTTCCTCCCACATTAAGCCGACACGCCGTGAAATAACTGTAATACTGTTAAAAGCGGCGTTAAACCCAACTCACTCACTCATTCATCATCAGCTGAAAATTTGTTTGTATACTGTTCTTTTCAACGCCCACATACCGCCATGTGAATACAACGTACATTTCAGTGAAATTGTGGAATTTCTATTTTCAGGTGAAAATCGAAAGGCTGCTTGCATCAGGATGAGGTTCACTATTACTTGCAACCGAACCAACGCGGTACTCTCCCTTGCAGTCCTAGCCTCGTTCTGGACCATCCTTTACTTTCACCTGTCTCAGAAGAACGAAAGAGCTGTATTTCCTAACTCTCAGGTTCAGCAAAAGCCGATCGGGGTTGTCAGCGCTATCGACGTCCGTGTCAAGACACCTGCTGTTGACAAGGCTCCCCCTGGTGGGGATGGAGACTTCCTGTTGAAGCCCTCCCTCAGCGGTGCTACTGTGGTCACCAGGTCAGCCACGGACTGGTCACGTGACGATGGTACGTGTGAAGGCGACCAGAACTTCGTAAGGACGGTGCTTCATTCTGCTGCGGGCGACCTGCCTATTTTCGTTCACCCCAAGAAGATGGATGTGTGGGTGTCGGGGAATATACTCGATGGGAGGGTCTGGGAACAGGAACACGTCAAGAGATTCCACGACGTTGTAAAACAAGATGGCGATCTGGAGTTCGTGGATATTGGCGGGAACATCGGTGTTTATGGGTTAACAATTGCCAAGCTAGGACGGAAGGTGTTATTTGTGGAACCTTTATTAAAAAATATACAGAAGCTGTGCAGCTCAGTGCGCGCTGGGAAGTACACGGATGTGTATGTTATCCATAACGCCTTGTCCTCGAGCAGGTTCAAGGTCGGCTTCGGGACGTATGAGGGAAATGTCGGCGGGACGTATGTGAAAAACACGACGTCCGAGACGGGCGAGACTGCACAAGCTGTGCTGCTTGACGACATTCTAGAAGTGTTCAAACTAAAAAAAGTCGCCATCAAATTGGACGTCGAGACCCATGAGGCAAAAGTGCTACTAGGGGGAGATAACTTTTTCAAATCGGTCGACGTCAGATACCTACAGCTGGAATGGGGACCGCACAAGAAAGACCCCGATGGAAGGGAGATAATCGACTTCTTGACGGCTCATTTTATGAAGCCATATCACCCAGCTACGGGTCAGCTTTTGGACACAAAGGACTACAGTACTTGGCCCGGGGATATTTTCTGGAAGAAGACCACGTGATGATTATGGGACTTGTCACGTGATGAGCAGGGTCACACGTGACTGATCACGTGTTGATAATGTTTGCCTGGTGTTTTAATGTGTGGGTATTTCTTTTATCATGAACCACCAACATGTTAGTGATCCGTCGGTGGGTAAGAATGATGGATAACTATTACAATTTAAGCTCATGCCAAACACATCTAAGGGGGCGGTCGGGTAGCCTATTGGTTAAAGCGTTCGCTCGTCACGCCGAAGACCCGGTTCGATTCCCAACATGGGTACAATGTGTGAAGCCCATTTCTTGTGTCCCCCGCCGCGATATTGCTGGAATATTGCTAAAAGCGGCGTAAAACCATACTCACTCACTCACTCACTAATTAGGGACAACCACAATCGGCTGTGCCAGGAAGGTCCGTATCTCGAGTCGAGAGTGAATGACGGTCCCTTACTGAGGTGGAAGGAAATTGATTAGAATGTAGTATTTCAGAAGAGTGAGTGAGTTTGGTTTAACGCCGCTTTTAACAGTATTCCAGTTAATTAGCGGCGTGTCAGCTTAATGAAGGAGGAAAGCCCGAAGTGATGCAGGTCTCAGACGTTTACCACTTCGGTGAAACCCACGAGCACGGGTATGGTGCTGACAAATCTAGAGACATAATTGGGGCGAACCGGGATTCGAAACCACAATCATAGGTTTCTGACGTGTCCAGGGGACGCAACTCTGCACAGCGAATTGCGGCGCCTTAGACGACTGGGCCACCCGTGCCCCCTATTTCAATGCGAATGAAACTCACTCTCTGCGTGAAGATCTGATCTGAACTGTCTAATCAGGGTTTGGGCTTGATATTTTCTCGGTACAACTTAGAGAACGATGCACAAAAGCAAATCAGACATCAGTATCTCGAAAATGACTATAATTAGGGAGTTATTGGTGCCAAAAAATAAATCGGTGCTATGTTTTGTGAATATGGTCGTTTCTGACCGCCATGGCATCTACATACTATCGAGGGTATGTTTGCTTCCTGTTGCGGTTTTCTTTGCTAAAATTTTAAAAAATGAAATTACCGATTCGAGGTTCGAAAGAAATGAAGCCGATTCGTTTTAGAAAGCTGACATCTGATTGGCTCAAGAACTCGGGCATCCTCAGACCGGTCACTCACAGTTCGACCAGGATTCACCCGCCGTGACCTTCTTTGGATGTGTCGTCACATCTTCACGCACAGCGTATAGTATGGGAGTACAAGATCTGATTTTAATGACATCGCGCTTTGGAGTTTTTGTTGGCGTTTGGAAGTGTTTGATCGGGGCATAGCAGTTCAGAATATGAATGAGAGAACATGATTATTTTTTTAGGTTGGGTGTTTCTTATGAGGATAGGTTCTTTTTAAATGAATAAAAGATGTGGGATATATTTTAATGGGTTGCATCTTCGGGATATTTACAATGTACTTTAAGCATCCTCCTTGAGATCTGTTTCGAGAATGGCCTCTGTGGGTGAGTGGGGTTAGCAATATCCCACAATTTCTCCACTGACAATGAATTATACACTCTAACGTAAATCTACCAACACTTGACTGGTAAAAACCAGGTTTAAAAAATACAGCGAAATAGCAGTATATCGTTTCATATGCACAAAGATCGCACGCGCTATTGTACGAAAGCCAAATGATGCCACTTTGTTTTTTTCTTAGCGAGTCTGATAGGACGACTGCCTTTGCTTCCGGGAGTTCCGGTATGAGTTTGAGTGCATGATGGATTGCCTTCAATTCAGCCGTGAATACTGACTGACCATCAGGCAGGCGAACTGAATGTGCTTGGGGTTTGGAGCTGTGGATATGGATCCCGTAACCAGCACTGTTGTTGATAGGATTCTTGGATCCATCAGTGTATATATGGGCCCAGCGGTCCCAGGTAGTTTGATTTTTAGTGATAGCTACTGATCGTAGTAGGGTTGGGTTTTCTTTTTGGGTGACTTCTGATGTTAAAGCAGTGTCAACTTTGGGAGTTTTTAAAGTCCAGGGAGGGTGTAACCCTTTGTAGTGACTTTCTGGGGGCTGAATGTCATCACAATTGTGACTTCGGATGAGTTAACGTACTAATATCCAAGATAGCCTTATTCAGGGATTTTTCCATTCTAGGGCTTCATCTCGAGTGTTTTTGTCTTGTCATATCTTTTGATCAAACGGTTTGATGTTCGTCCCCAGAACGATAGTATTGCCTGCTCTCTTCTTAGTTTCAATGGGAGTTCCCCCGTTTCTACTTGCAGTGCTTCTAGTGAGGTGCTTGTTGCTGCGCCTGTGGCTAGCACTAGGGCTTTGTACTGTATCCTGTGGAGGCGGCTCAAGACAGTATTGGATGCTGAGTGAAAGGCCTCACAACAATAGTCTATTTTTGATCTGATACGTGATTTGTTGAGGTTAAGCTGAGTGTCCCTCGATGTGCCCCAAGATGTGCCCCAAGATGTGCCTAAAATTGCCCGTAATACGTTTAGGTCTTTTTGACATCTATATATTTGCAGCAAGTGAGGTGTTGAGCAAGGATCACCCCAAGAAATATTTGATTGGTTTGCCTTTTATGGAAACACGGGGTATCATAGCACCTTTCCCCCTGCGTTTGAATAGAATTCCCACAGTGTTTTCACTGGAAAGGGTAAACCCCCATTTATTGCACCATTGATCCAATCCGTCCAGGGCTGAGTTTTTTCGGATTTGTGAAATGTCTCTGTGCTTTACCCATATTGCTTCGTGATCAGCTAACTTAGAAGTTTGGGTAGGAGAGTTGACATGATCAAAAAGATCATTGATCATGATGTTAAAACAGGGTTGGGCTAATAATGCTGCCTTGTGGCGTTCCATTGTCCAGTGACATAGGGTCAGATTGATTTGCAATATAAACAAAAGGATTATGGCTGATTGGGCCTTCACTTACCCCCGGCGTTCTCATCAAGGAGACCGCCTCCGTGGTCTAGTGGTAGAGCGTCCGCCCGGAGAGCGGAAGGTCCAGGGTTCGATCCCGGGCCGCGTCATACATAAAGACGTTAAAAGATTGTACTTGTTGTTACCCTGTCTGGCGCTCGGCATTAAGGGGCTAAAACAAGGACTGGGCGGCTCGGAGTCAGTATACTGTGTCTGAGTGGGGTATTCATGTTAAACTGCGGAATGGTATCTCAGTGAGCTAGCACTATAAATCGGCAGCCACACACAAGCAGCCACACACACACACACACGTGCATGCACGTCGCTATATAAGTGCAATAATCTTGGACGCGACGTTAAACCCCATTTCACCTCCCCTCATCAAGGACCCCAATCAGCCATAACCTTATTGTTTATATTACTTCGCCGTTAATTGTCTTTACTACCCTTTTGTGTACGTAACTGGCTCCTTCACTCCAGTATAACCACATCTAATATCTACTCTACTGTATAAACATTGCCTCCTACCTGTATATATGCTTGTCAGCCACACTCTGTACATCACTTGCTTTGATAACGGTGGTAGAACCTAAACCGAAACGTCGCTCTTTACTGTAATAAAGTTGTTCATCCATAAATCCTATCCTTACTTACTACTAGACCCATGAAGATCCGGGGTAGAATAGGTCTTCAGCAACCCATGCTTGCCGTAAAAGGCGACTATGCCTGTCGTAAGAGGCTACTAACGGGATCGGGTGGTCAGGCTTGCAGACTTGGTTGATGCACGTCATCATATACCAATTGCGTTGATCGATGCTCATGATATTAATCACTGGATTGTCTGGTCCAGATTCAATTATGTACAGGCGGCCGTCATATAGCTGGAATATTGCTGAGTGCGGCGTTAAACAACAAACAAACAAAACTTACTACTGATATACCATCTATTCCAAAGATGGGCTTAAACTGTTTATATAAAATATATGATGATTCTCTTAATTCTGGATACCACAGTGTTATAGAATTATCTTGTAGACGCTGCCTTACAAATGAAGAATGGGGCTTTTGTAGTGGCAATACATTCTCTAATTACAGTAAACTACGTTTATAACGAACACGCTTATAACGAACTGGCAGATATAACTATTTTATTTTTTGGTCCCGGCCATTTGCTGTATATATCCTGTATATATGCATATAACGAACTGCGGTTATAACGAACTAAATTAGTGGTCCCTTTGAGTTCGTTATAACCGTAGTTTAAGGGGCGGTCGGGTAGCCTAGTGGTTAAAACGTTCGCTCGTCACGCCGAAGACCCGGGTTCGATTCCCGACATGGCTACAATGTGTGAAGCCGATTTCTGGTGTCCCCCGCCGTAATATTGCTTGAATATTGCTAAAAGCGGCGTAAAACCACACTCACTCGCTCTAATTAACAAGTGCTAAGAGGGACAGCTCCTTTGGGTTTGTGCTCAGGGACGGTGATACAGTGATACGGTGATACGCAATAGGTGTAAATACGAAATAACATTCGACAACCTATCTTACTGGTCCTGTGATGTTGGTATTCTTTGGCATTAATGAACGTGAAAATAGATAATTGGTTATGCAATCCAAACGCAGGCGGATTGATGCATGCGTTCTTGGTCTATATAAATGAATTACAATTGGTTCTGAAATAAACTCGTCATTTATAATTGTGTCATCGTGTAGATCTTTCTTTTAATGAGGGGGCACGGGAGGCACAGTCGTCGCGATTCGCTGTGCAGAGTTGCGTCCCTTGGACACGTCAGAAACCTAAGATTGTGGGTTCGAATCCCGGTTCGCCCCGATTATGTTTCTAGGTTTGTCAGCACCATTACCGTGCTCGTGGGTTTCACCGAAGTGGTAAACGTCTGAGACCTGCATCACTTCGGGCTTTCCTCCCACATTAAGCTGGCACGCCGTGATATAACTGGTATACTGTTAAAAGCGGCGTTTAACCCAACTCACTCACTCTTTTAATGATGTAAATCACGTCACATTTAATGTGAAATGTAAAATACGTCCCGTTCCCAAGTTGACTCGGGTTACGTGCCGCCATGCATTTTCGGGGCGGTCGGGTGGCCTAGTTGTTAAAGCGTTCGCTCGTCACGCCGAAGACCCGGTTCGATTCCCGACATGGGTACAATGTGTGAAGCCCGTGATGTTGCTGGAATAGTGCTAAAAGCGGCGTAAAATAAAAAACTCACTCATGTACATTTTCAAGATCTCGTGTATAAATTCCTAAACTGCTGACGTATTTAATTTGTGAATTCTGGTGGGGCGATACATTAAAATCTAATTTAGTAAACATTATAAATCTATCCATCCTCACGCAGACAAACAAGCATGGAATTCTCCGATCGTTTTCGTAATTGTATTTGAAATACGAAACGAGTTTCCGCGCAATACCATTTTCATGAACCTGGCGAAAAGCTGAGTTGATATCAAACTGTTCACTCGTTTCCTTAACATCGTACTGCACGGGAGGCCGTTTAGTATTCTGTATATATGCGCAATGAGTGCATGTCACAGTTCATTTTCAAGAATGAACACATCACTTTCGTGCCAAATCTTATCGTATATTATGTCGAAAAAAGGTGAGGTAAAATTGGGTTTAACGTCGCGTCCAAGATTGTTAAACTTATATACCGACGTGCATGCACTGTGTGTGTGTGCGTGCGTGCGTGCGTGCGTGCGTGCGTGCGTGCGTGTGTCTGTGTCTGTGCTGGAATATAGCTGGAATATTGCTGAGTGCGGCGTTAAACAACAAACAAACAAAACTTACCAATAATATACTTTTCTATTCCAAAGATGGGCTTAAACTGTTTATATAAAATATATGATGATTCTCTTAATTCTTGATACCACAGTGTTATACAATTATCTTTTAGACGCTGCCTTAGTACTTTAAAAATGAGGTGAGGTGAGGTGAAATTGGGTTTAACGTCGCGTCCAAGATTATTGCACTTATATAGCGACGTGCATGCACGTGTGTGTGTGTGTGTGTGTTGCTGCTTGTACTAGTCCGGACTGATGCCGATTTATAGTGCTAGCTAACTGAGATACCATGCCGCAGTTTAACATGAATACCCAACTCAGACACAGTATACTGACTCTGAGCCGACCAGTCCTTGTTTTAGTCCCTTAATGCCGAGCGCCAGACAGGGTAACAACAAGTACCATCTTTTAACGCTCTCCGGGCGGACGCTCTACCACTAGACCCCGGAGGCGGTCTAGAGTGATGTTTAAGTCATAGCGGTTAAAATATTCCTAAAATGTTGACACAGTATACTGTCTATGTCGACAAAAGGCTTCATTGATCATAACCATCAGTTTAAACTATTATATGATCGCTTCGCATAACATCGATGTTTTCATTGCATAGTGTTACTTAGATTGGTACTGTATTCTTCTTAGCGCAATAGATCGGGAATTTGTTTAAAACTTGAAGCAAGTTTTGTGCCTGGTGAAATTGTTTGGCATGTAGATAAGGAAATATAAAACAACATTTTGCAGTTACAGAAGTAAAAATACCAATACAATCGTCATACTTCAAACGTACAAACCACGCCAAGCTCAGCACAAACCAATTTCTACACTTTCAAGTGAAATCTCCTCCGTCTGCTACCCCCTACGCACAATAGACCATAATGTCTACTCACAAACCACGCAAAGCGCAATGAAATATACCAGACGCCTCAGTCACTTACTTGTCAACACCATTGCAAGAGTAACCGCCTCCGTGGTCTAGTGGTAGAGCGTCCGCCCGGAGAGCGGAAGGTCCGGGGTTCGATCCCCGGCCGCGTCATACCAAAAGTCGGTAAAAGATGGTACTTGTTGTTACCCTGTCTGGCGCTCGGCATTAGGGGGCAAAACGAGGATTGGTCGGCTCGGAGTCAGTATACTGTGTCTGAGTGGGGTATTCATGTTAAACTGCGAGATAGTATCTCAGTGAGCTAGCACTATAAATCGGCATCAGTCCGGACTAGTACAAGCAGCCACACATACACGTGCATGCACGTCGCTATATAAGTGCAATAATCTTGGACGCGACGTTAAATCCCCATTTCACCTCACCATTGCAAGAGTTGCTAACTTAACTCAAGTTAATTTTCAAGAAAAAAAACAAGAGTGGAGTACAAATTGCAACTCAGAAAATTCCAGTAGTGTTACACTCCACTATAGCAGTTTATTTGTCACTTGCTAATATCATTGGTCGACTCTGCATTATGCACGTGCCGAACAATCGTATAACAATACATAGCAATTATCTCCCTTTACAAATATACGCAAAGAAAAACAGTTTTTGGATATCTCATCTATACAATATTGTTTAGGCTTTGGATATCTTATCTATACAAAATTGTTTAGGCTTTGGATATCTTATCTGTACAAAATTGTTATGGCTTTGGCTATCTCATCTATACAATATTGTTTAGGCTTTGGATTTCTCATCTATACAATATTGTTTAGGCGTTGGATTTCTCATCTATACAATATTGTTTAGGCTTTGGATTTCTCATCTATACAAAATTGTTTAGGCTTTGGATATCTCATTTATACAATATTCTTTAGGCTTTGAATATCTTATCTATACAATATTGTTTAGGCTTTGGATATCATCTATACAAAATTGTTTTGGCTTTGGATTTCTCATCTATACAAAATTGTTTAGGCTTTGGATATCGTATCTATACAAAATTGTTTAGGCGTTGGATTTCTCATCTATACAAAATTGTTTAGACGTTGGATATCGCATCTGTACAATATTGTTTAGGCTTTGGATATCTCATCTATACAATATTCTTTTGGCTTTCGATATCTAATTTATACAATATTATTTAGGCTTTGAATATCTTATCTATACAATATTGTTTAGGCTTTGGATATTATCTATACAATATTGTTTAGGCTTTGGATATCTTATCTGTACAAAATTGTTTAGGCTTTGGATATCTTATCTATACAAAATTGTTTAGGCGTTGGATATCTTATCTATACAAAATTGTTTAGGCGTTGGATATCTTATCTATACAAAATTGTTTAGGCGTTGGATTTCTCATCTGTACAAAAGATATACAAGCTTGTATAGCTAGATTTTTTTACAGTGTTTTAACCATAAGCCACAACTACCGTGACAAACCATTCCTTGTAAGAGACGACTAAATGGAAATGTAAGATCGGTGACTTGATTGATATCGTGTCAACGTTTGGCGTGGATCAATCACTGGCTTGTCTGGTCCAGATCTGATTATTATTAAGGGCTGCCGTCTATACACGCGGTGTTAAACAGAGAGAAAACACCAAACAAAAGAAATGTTTATTTCGAGTAGCTTGATGCAATTACGGCAACACGATCTGGAATTTTCAAAGTCGTGAGGATAAGTTTGTTTTTGACGTAAATGACAAAAATGGCAAATCGACATCACGCACCCGACATTCGTAAATTATAAATTCAAATACACCGTGCACTCCAGACAATGTGAGGTAATTTGATCAAATAGATCAGTATATGCTGGTCAGATTCGTGTCGTGCTTGAAAACTACATGGGAAATTACAGTGTGGTATTTTCGTCTACAGTTGATGACCAATGCTTGCACTTTTTTACGTTTTT